CCACAGTTTTATGTAAGTGGAGAGCTACGTCACACGCCACAGTTTTATGTAAGTGGAGAGCTACGTCACACGCCACAGTTTTATGTAAGTGGAGAGCTACGTCACACGCCACAGTTTTATGTGAATAGATAACTACGTCACACGCCACAGTTTTATGTGAATAGAAAACTACATCACATAAAAGCTTTTATGTAAATAGTAATCTATGTGTTTATTGGGATTGGTTTAGAAGGTTAGATCAGTAAAAGAAATACAGGTCTTCCTTTCTAATATATGATTTTCTCAAGCTATTTTACCCTAAAACTCATGTAGTTGTTCTTAATTGTTTTTAAGGTAAAACAATAATTGTTAAATAACTTTAACTTTCTAAGGTTATGTTTTAAGATATTGTTGACTTTTAAGAACCAGAAATGAAATTTTGATTTCACAAAATGATGTTTAAAGTTCTTTGTTCTTATCGAATGTTCTATCACATATTTATTTTGAAAATTTCAGGACCTTGGGTCAGGAATCATCATTATTCCTTTACTTTCCCTCCTAGAAGCTATAGCCATAGCTAAAGCATTTTGTGAGTTCAAATTTAATATATATATGGTGTAGTTAATAAAGTTGACAACACATGATGACAAAGGAAGTGTTATGTTCAGCAACTGAAAGTTTAAGGGTCCTCTTAGTTTATGTTAACATATTTTTCAACTTGCCTAAAAAAACAGTGACCCATATCAAGTTAAATACTATTTGTTATTAGTATTATCATGTATACATTTTTATGTTATTGGTAATTGATTAATACTAAATTTTTCTGTACATTTTAGGTTAATTTCTTGATATAGAATTTAAAAAAGGACATAATAAATATATGGTTTGTGTTTATAGCTCTTTTAAGTTTGTTTTTTTCTAGCTTCAAGATTTAATGCTAAATTATGTAGGAAACTTTGTTAATTATTACCTTTGTTTAGAAAAGTAAATTTTTAGCTATCAAAGTTATTCTGGTATTTGAGGAATGTTATCTGTGATCAAGTCATATAGGAAGAAAAGAAAAAGGACTTAATTTTTTGTATTTTTAATATTTAACTGTTTCATATAAGAAACCTAACATACAGTGTGCAAATGTGTTTCTAATGAATGGGGAGTTCACAAATGGTATTTTGGTCACATCTGGAGCTGAAAATCCGGAGTAGGTGACTTAAGACACTGATGAGAAACCCCCCCAGTGGCTGAAAATAATATAAATTTAATCAATGTTGGTATGTACATAACAATGAAACAAAATTATTGAAGTACAGTTTGTCCAAAGTCACATATGTTATTCACCATTCTAAGGAATCCAAGAAGGAAAAACATTCAGCTGTTATTCATCATTCTAAGGAATCCAAGAAGGAACAACATTCAGCTGTTATTCACCATTCTAAGGAATCCATGAAGGAACAACATCCAGTTGTTATTCACCATTCTAAGGAATCCAGAAGGAACAACATCCAGCTGTTATTCACCATTCTAAGGAATCCAAGAAGGAACAACATCCAGCTGTTATTCACCATTCTAAGGAATCCAAGAAGGAACAACATCCAGCTGTTATTCAACATTCTAAGGAATCCAAGAAGGAACAACATCCAGTTGTTATTCAACATTCTAAGGAATCCAAGAAGGAACAACATCCAGTTGTTATTCAACA